CGTATTTACTGTGAAAATTAATTCACCTTAGTTACATTTCTATTTCTATCATAGAAAAGTAATTATTTAAACATCTTATTAGAGAAGTACATATTACACTTATAATCATAAATAATGTGTTACTGTTCTTGAAGTCTATACACCAGACTAAATTAAATCCTCGTCCTTATCTTTCCTGGGCGGTCAAAATACATTTTTATTAAAAATATTGCATGTAACATATCGTTGTTGTGTTAAGCATATATAGTTAATGGAAGGTTGTACTGAACAGCTTTATGGATCATTGCTTTATCAACTTTTACTTGACAGGATCCTACTATGGGACTGTGACGACAGAAGCTACAGCTACTACGTGGAAGTGTCTGTGAATCTGTGGGACTGGGAACTCGTCTGGGACAAGACCAGGGAGAATTGTCAGTCTTGGCAATACATAACGTTTCCCCGCAGACCAGTCGTGTTTATCAGGATAATCGGCACACACAACACTGCTAACGAGGTATGGTTTTTATTCTTTACATATGAACCCCGCAAAACAACAAAAAATAACCGGTTGGCTAACCATTTCTGGGAATCTAGAAATAATGTATTCCCAAGCCAAAAGGTTTTACCTCCAAAACACTTTGTTTATTTTGTTGTGTACATTAACTGTTGAATGTGTTGTGTAGGTTTTCCATTGTGTACACCTGGAATGTCCCGCCCAGAGTGAGGAGGCTGGTTCCCCCCGCTCAGACCCACGACCCCCCCGTCCCTTGCCCCCCGCAGCCTCCCACCAACACCATCACCACCATGCTCCTGACATGGTGCCTACTGCGGCTGAGGCCACCGAGGAGGAGGCTAATAAGGTTGGTATTTACCAGATTTTCCTGTCCATTAAAGTAGACATTCTATTCCTATTTGTTATAATTATTGCCAGTTTTAGAAGAAATATGATCTGAGTTGAGTTGAGCCACCAACAAAGTGTGCTGATCTAAAATTATGTTAAATTTTGCTACATATTTTAAATTGGCTATACATGGAATTAAATATTTATTTACTAAGCATGTATTTTTTTAGTGGTATGAATTTTCTGCATGTGAAAAATTCACTACTGTAATTTCATTTGCAATCTGTAAAGTTACTTAGTTCCAACCAGAGGTGCCCATCCCCCCCAAACCCAGAGGCGCAACCCCCCCCCCCCCCAAGCCAAAGGAGTAGTTCTCCCCCCCCCAATTTATGCTGCCGTCTATTTAAACCTACCCTCCCCCCACCAATTTATCTGACAATTTTCCCTTTACCTCATAAAACGAGCATTCCAATTTAGTATTTAGTAAACTTGAGGTAAAGAAAAACAAACTTGCTGATAATAAAAATTAAATGTTTAATAGGAAACGAACAACATTTAACAATACTTCATTAGGTGTATCTAACTAATGGACGAATTAGAAGTGTTTCAATTTACATTTCAGAATCTCTATTGTCAGCTAACTTGTGTTCAGTATTGCAATAGACAACGTCTTCAAAACGTACAACAATATACTAGGTGAATTACTCTACTCCAACACAGTATTGTAACTGTACAATATATTAGGTGGCGTTAAATTTTACAGAGAAAGAATCTCAGAGAAGAATTTTAAGAAATCAAACCGCTTTAAAAATACATTAATAATACTTTGGCAAAAAGTTTTTTTTTTCAAAATTATAGGCAGTCACGAAATAAGACAGACTTGTTGCTCGCCACTCCCTGGCTCTACAAACACCGCCACTACAAACAACACACTCCAAAAACTCGATTTTACTCTACAAAAATCGCCAGGCAAAATACCCACAAAAGGTTTTTGTGACGAAGTAATCTTATAATTAATTTTGATAGCCCCAGGATTGCCTTTTATGACTAATAATGGTAGAAACGCATCTTGTCAGACAATCTGTTTATACACAAAACATGAAATGTTAACAGATAGGCCTATCAATTCACGTGAGTATATTGCCGCGGGCAGGACTGGAAGTAAACTGAATCAGGTTATGACGGAAAGACGTGGTCTCTGGATTGTCGTCTGTGTTATCAAAAGCTGATATTGGACTAGTTGTCGTGACGGAGGAGAGTGTTGAAAATATAATGGGATTCATAATTGAGTTTTCCATTTAAAATTATTGACAATAATAACCAATTTATCTGCTGGATATAAATTATGGTCTCGAAATTCTACAGTACTGCACGAAAGGAAATTTATTAAATACTTTGAGGAGTTTGAAATATATAAATACATAAAACTAGGGACAGCACAAAATTTTTGAGTGAAAACACTCATTTAATTATGAATCCCATTATACTTTTAACACTCTTCTCAGTCACTACAATAGTCCTATATCAGCTGGTGACAATGCAGACAACAAACCAGAGACCACGTCTGTCCGTCATAACCTGAACCTGATTCAGTTTACTTCCAGTTCTGACGACGGCAATATATACGCGTGAATTGATAGGCCTATCTGTAATCGATTCGTGTTTTGTGTGGTGGAGGTAAAGAATCACCAAAACATATGTAGCAAATAAAATTCGACACTGACACTGGTATATTAAGGATTGTCTGACAAGGTGCGTTTTTACCATTCTTAGAAGCAAATCTTAATTACGAATGGCAAAATGTTGTTGGTGTTGATAGTGAGCTACTTAGAAACACTTTTTCGGGCTGCTTATACAAAATTTTTCATTCATTATGACAGCTAGCAAAAAACATCCCCCCCAAAATCCCCTCAAAAAAGTCCCCCCCAAAAATTCCTGTGGCGCAAACGCGCCACAGTACCCCCCCTCTGGGCACCCCTGGTTCCAACACATAACTCCGCTTAGAAACAAGAATGAAAGTTTTTTTCACATGAAAATACAAATCTTTTGTATTTTGAAGGGACAACAAAATCTTAACTCTCAAGGGACAAATAATAATTGAAACTTGTTAAAGATGCTAATTAGTGTGAATACTTGAATGTTTAGGAAGATGATGAAGTGGAAGAAGAGGCAGAAGCAGCAGCAGTTGCTGTAGTTGCTGAGGACCAGCCATAAGTTAATCCTCCGGACCTTTTGTGATAACTAACTATTTAAATAACTTCCAATCAATGTTTCCTATGCTGTTTGTGGTACTTAAGTCTTGCCTATTTGTGAATACTTTGTTTGTATATGTTTGTTAAAAATGTCAAAATCTTATATTTGCACATTATTATTAATTTATTGTATAAAGAAAAATTATGTAGTATATCTATTTGTAATAAATACATGTATAGTGCCTGAACAATGTTTTATGGTTTATGTTGGATTGTTATTATTTTTTTAATTAGTTTATGTTGTATTATAACAGTTTTGTTATTAAAGTTGTTTTAGCATAAAGTTATTTTTTACCTGATTTCCATAGAGTTTTTACATTCTTTCGCTACACTAAAATTACCTTTTTTTGTTACATGTTTATTACCTGCAAAAATTCATCATTTCATTGATTGTTTACGTTAATAATGTTTAGGCCTACTATCTTGTTTGGATATTGCTAATGTTTTTGAACTAGGCTAGTAGTAGCAATCCGTCAAACTGGTTCAAACAAGCTTTTATCTAAGAATAAAAAATATTTATTTCCATTGATCTTTATAAAATTATTAGGACACGTCATTTGTTATACATATAGCTACAAAGTGATGCAGTATTTACAGTACCTACAATATATCTAAATTTAAATTGCCACTTACATAAAAATAAAAGCTTTATTTCAACTTACTCTTCCAAATTTAACTCTAGATGATTATTTAATTTCACAACTTAAAATCATGTTTTTTGTAAAAGGGGTAGACTTTGGACTATATAGACTTTTTTAGTGTCTTTTAGGTTGAGTAGTTTGGTGGATTATTTTGCAAAAGATGGAGCCTGATTCCTGGACTTAATTTTAGAGTTATTATATTGTAAGTTATTAATTGTAAAATTGTCTTCAGCCGATCCGTAAGGGGCCGTCCACATATATTACATATCGCTTAAGGAGGGGGGGGGCTGTTCGACTTAGCGTTACGAGGAGGGTGTAGAGGTTTTCAACATAGCTACGGAAAGGCACTAAAAAATCAAATTTGTCCAAAAGTAGCAAATTGATAAAATTATTTAAAAAACAGTCTTCTTGGTAAAACTAGTTTTTAGTACCAGTTTACATTTTTATTCTTGTTTTTTATAGAACTGTTATTCTAGTTCAAAAAGGTCTCACCAACTCATAGCTCTGATCTTGCAGTCTTAGTGAGGAGAGGACATAAAAATATGGATTTGGTCATCCTGGGTCAAATATGATAGCAAATAAAATAAATCAGAATTTTGTACAGTTAAATTACTACAAATGTAAATTTTGTTCATAAGTGCTACTATAAAAAGACACTTCACATGATAAGTGTTTAAAAAATGTTTATTATTATACAGTATACAATTAATTGATGTTTTAAAAATGTTTTGTTGTAAACATTGATCTGTTCAAATTAACAGTAAAGTTTGTTCTTAAAATGATTTTTGCTATTGGTGACATTACTACAAAACCAATGTTGAACCATTTTACTTCATGTGAAAATTTCCCCTTGATTTAATAAACCACAACGTTGTTTTAGAAAATATCTGACAGCATTAGGTTACAAAGGATGGGGGTTAGACTTGCGTTATATAGCGTCACATGGGTGAAGGAAGTGGTTTGAAAATTATTACAAAAAATCGCGTTACATACGTAGGTTGGCGGCCCCTAAGGATGACTAAATCTAATCTAATAAGGGTGTGTGTTTTTAACGCTACAGGTTTTATAATTTTCGTAAATGTACTAGAATGCTACGAAATCAAAAGTTAAGTCAAAAGCATTGATTAATGTTTAACTGGTTTGACCGTTATCTGTTGCTATATGACTATGAGTTTCGTAATCAATGCTGAGATATTATCCATTATCTGTTAGTTATTCTATGGAGACAGCAAAGAAGAAGAGTTTTTGTCTGTTTGTTTATTTTCCATCAAACAAAATTAGAATTCAGGGGTTTGAAGTTTGAATCATTAATCGCAGCTATTTCTTTCTTAAGGCTTATTATTTTATAATACAGTGAACTAAAGTTCTAAAAATGTGGTGTACGTTGCTTTTAGTTTTAAATTTGAACCCTCAAATTTCGGCAAGCCTAAGATTAGTGTATTGATCTGATCTTGTGTTTTAAAGCTAACCCGATATTTTCACGGCTAAAATCTTAGTCACTAGTCAGTCCTAAATTTGAATTAGCCGAAGCTGAAGTAAATGGATAGCTACCAAAGCTTATGAACCTACCGAATAGACAATAGATTTTTTATTCCTTTAATAAGTCAAGAATCAGAGTGATGGTCCAATAAATTCCTCATTACTGGTAAGTCCTCAACTGTAAGTTATTATCTTTGTCATCCTTAACTAGGCTACAACACAACTTACTTCGTTCACAAAATTTAGGCGGTTGAAGGGGAAGTCCCCCACTACTTTACTTTACTTAACTTACTTTTTTTGCTTGGCCTATAATAAGTTTATATTTGGTGCAAGAGATCTATGTTTTGGCAAACCTAAATCACGTCAAACAGAAACCTTACAAAAACCTCGGCCCTCAGATGAATAGCTCTTAACTTATTTTAAAGGTGGGCTGCACTTTAGTTTACGTTCTACACTCATTTGAATAAAAAATATCGATAATATCATTTATTCGATATATTGATTAATATCGAATGAAATAGTCTATATAACTTACCTATCGATCGATGTGTTCATTAGAATGAGTGTAGGACGTAAACTTAAGTGCAGCCAAAGGTAGGTTGGCAATACTGTAGTGGAGGGGATGATTTCTTTCCCTAAAACCGTCTAAATTTTGTGAACAGAGTATTACAAAACGAGATCTAAGTTAGGGCAAGAACACTGATATCGTGGTGCTAGGCATATTCTCTCGGTTTGACGTTGGGCCTAACTTATTTTACTCTTGGTTAACTTAGCTGCTAGAACATTTAGTGTTGCCTTGGCTAGAAGCACAGTAAACCACTTAGGTCTAAGTTACTCTTATTTTTCATTGGTAAAACTTTGATATCTGACTCCATCTTGGCGTGGGTGATAAGTTATCGTGGTGTTTTCTTTATTTTTATTTTGTGGGTTTCTACGCCAGTTGTATTCTTATGTTTTGAAAGGGAATAGTCCAGACCCTTGTTACTAAGTAACCTAACGTCGACCTTTTTGTTAGATAGCATCTTAAATATTGGCCCAATGACAATGGCATCTGGGTCTGGAAACGATCTTGCTTGGAACTAAACCAGAGTTTTTGTCACTAAGCTTAGGCTATGTAACTTTTTGTAAAATGTTGGTTGCCGTTGGATAAATATGAATTAAAAATAAATCGTTTTATCGATTGTTAATTTACTATCGATATTGAAAGTTTGGGTTTCGGTTAGACTAGGTCTAGTTTTAGTTTGGTTATCTGGTCAAATCAATTTTAAGTTAGACCTAATGTTTGTAAATAAATCCGATGGAGTCCGATATCAAAGTTTTATCTTTTCATTAGCCCTGTTTCGGGTCTATATTACAATTAATTTCTTATCCAATCCTGACAGTTGTTGGGCTTGGATCAGCTTTATAAAAATAGGCCTACATAAGGCCTTACTTGTAAGTTAAGAAAACACTGATTTGCAAACTTGAACGAGGGAAATTTAATCTAGATTTTATTCCGTAAATGTACAAAATTTAAACGTTGAGTTACAAAGCTGCTTACAGTAAATATAAGGAATGTCTTCCCGTCGAAATATTGTATTGTAAGTTAAGTAGGCTAGAGATTTTTTTTTTTACTTGGCAAGCTTAACTTACCTGAACGAGAAATAAAATAGAATTCTAAAACATGCTCAAGAAATTGGCACATGAAACGCAGAACTTTATACTTGACTCTCAATCTAAAATACCTCTAATTTCCACCGTTAAACTTGAAATCTCTCTCCCTCCCTTCCACGAACTCAAACCTTCCTTGCTTGAAAATGTTAGCCTATCAATGAAGGAAATATTCTAATTTTGTGTGTACAGTAAAATGTTTGTGTTTCATGTGCCAGGATAGTCTTTCCTTTCCCATTCAAACAAGCCTGCCATTGTAGCAAAAATTCCTTAAAACCAAGGCCTTTGCCCTCTCTTATGTATTAAAAATTAACTGCAACTATTGTGTAAGTTAGGTTATTTTAAAAACTTTCTTTTTGGATTTGTTTCTTCATAGAATGTCTCACTAATAGGCCTAATAAGAAGAAATGTCAAGAGCAAGGAGTGTTCCAGCTGATAAGGCTGGTCATGGAATAAAAGTACGAGTGCACAATACTGTGTCTGTTCCGTTGGTCCAACCCAGATCCCCAGACATGATCCCTGCGTTCGCTGGTATTGATAACGGCGATGCAGACAAGTAAGTTTTGTTGAATCATAAGCTCCCAAAGTTGGCTATGAGAATATCTTTTGATAGCTAGACGTACATATGAATCAACATATAATGATGATGGTAATAAATGATTGATCAGTATCAGTCGATCCAACAATTAAGCCTAATTGTGTGAAACAACATACTGTAGTGTGTGTATAGGAAGTCTTATCTTAGAATGATTTTTATTCCTGGTTATTGCAAGAAAGGGAAATAGTTAATAGTTGGTTTTAAATAGTTAATGTATTTAAATCTATTTAAAACCTGCTTTTGGTGGATGATTTCTCAATTATAATTTTGTACTCTATTCTAAACAATTGTCAAGACAATTTGGATTTTGTTTGACTTGTAGAAGTAATGGGCTACTATTGTTTTTATTTCTTTACCTAACTCACCATGTTAAACTTCCCTATCTCAAGCGTGGTGTATACAACTTCTTTACTTCTCGACTCGAGTGATGTAAAATTGAAAAAAACTCACTCGGTGATGTAATGAAGCCCATTTAAATAGCATTGAGTGCTTAACTTAAAAAATATATCTCTATGGAGCCAACAACGTTCAACGCTAGAAATCAGCTGTGCACTTGAATTTTATTGTTATGTTTTGAAGAATTTTTCTAACCTAGCTTTTGTTTGTAAATTAACGTTACTGTTAGAAGATAAGTGAAATGGATATTGAAAAATATTGTTCGTAACCTCCTGCATATTGTCGGGTCAGGTAAAATCTTGTACGTTACACGTTACGCAAGAGCGTGTTTACATCACTTAGGTTATTATGCAACTCGCTTCCGCTTGTTGCACAACATTCACCTGCGTGATGTAAAAACGCTCTTACTACACTTGTAAGGTAAATAGCTATTAAAACATTTAATTAAATTGTTTTCAAACTAGTAATTTCAATTTCATTTTTAAAATAAAAAAAATTCACATTACCGTATTGTTTATATACTTTATGAATAAAAAAACGGTCGTAAGTAAATTAATCAACTCGCTTAATTGGTTATTACGACACTCGTTTTTAAGGTACTTGGCAATGCTCGTGCCTTAAATTTATTCTTGTATCATAAAAACTATGTGATGATTGCGTTTTAACTACTGGTACCACACAAGTTGTTGCACACCTCTATTTAAAAGATTCTGTTTTTGTAATAGCCGTATGTTTTTTTTTTTTTATTTTCAGATCGATGTTAGTTAAAAGGAATAGAAAAATGGGATTTCAAGTTGAAAATCCTTTGTCCAGAAGTAGAAATATTCGGGAAGAGCCGAAGAAACTCAATCGTAACTCAAAGAAGGTTAGTGGCAATACTCACCTGATATTCATTTCGTCCAAGTAGGAATGTCATTCAAAATGTTAAAGGTTACTAAGTTGTTCACAATGAGTAGCCTAGTGTACAAGCACAACCGTACCGGTACCTAAGTGTACTACACTTTGAGGAATAGCAACCGACCTAAGATTAGCCCTAATTTAAGGAAATTAAGAAAAAATATTATTAGAGAAATGTATGTTAAGACATCAATTATTGTTTTGATTTAAGAATGTGTACCTATTTTTTATTTGGCTTTTGATGCCCTAAAGATTTACTGTACAGCCTACTAATTAATTTTCAATTAACTCATTACTGGACTGTAGTCCGAGACGATACGGAGGAGTGTAACGGCCTGTAGGAAATAATTTAAGTGATTTTTAAGATTCATCATAGGCAGATATTGTGTAAAAACTTATCACAAGAAGTCTAGTTTTGTTTTGATTTTATATAAAAGTTAGAATCGATCCAAACGGATCAGTAACTCGATGGAAAAATATAACTTTTTACTAGACTCTTGATGAATTGTTTATAAGAACCACAGACTTTTGATAATTATTTTTAAATGACAATGTGTTTCAGAATGGAAAAAACTAATTCCTTATGTGGGAAATTTGTTTACAAATTAAAATACTTACTGCTTTTTTTACAGGGACCAGGAACCATCTCGATCCCTCTCAATATAAACAAGAAAGCAAATACCAAAGTACAAAAAGCGTCTACATTTTCCAATCTGAACGTTGAGCTTAATAAACCCACAAGGAAAGCTTTCACAGCTAGAGAGCAAGGTGATGAAAAAAATGTAAAAGACTTATTGAAAAAGTTTTTAGACAGTGATTTTCCTCCGTACAACCCTGAAGATTTTACTCCTAAGGATAATAGTGTTAGTGAGGGTGACCTAGGTAATAGTGAACTGTTGCAAAACATTCGACAAGAGCTCGACGAGTGGCTCTCAAAGTGTCCTGAAGAGAATAAGAAGAAAGACTCTTGTCCTGAGATGTGGAGTTCAGTGCCTTCTACATGTATGTATACATTTAAGTTGCGTTGTTATAGTATATATAAATCAGCACATTGCGCACAGTTTACCCAGGTAAATTTACTTCACATGTGTGTATACACCGAAATAGTATTCGCTGATGAATTAAAAACACATTGCACTAAAGTTGTATATCTTGTTTTACTTCACATTTAGCCTAAATACACCTAAGATGCTTCAATTTCCATAAATGAGGTGAACCACGCCCCCGCTCCCGCAACCAACGGAACGAATTAGAAGCGTGTTCAGACAGACAGAGGCGGAGGGGCGACTCATATCCCTACCTAAAACAGGGCCGTCCCTAGGGTTGGCGGCGCCCGGAGCAATTGTGGTCGTGGCGCCCCCTCCCCCCCCCACTAATAGTCGCATTCGCATATTTTAATACTGTGTTAATACAAATAGCCGCTGCGCGGCGCCACGGCGCCCAAGGCAGCTAGCCCCGGTTGCCCCCCCCCCCCCCCCCTTCGGACGGCCCTGACCTAACAACAAGAAAACCCGTGGTGAAAAGGTTCAAGAACAACGTACCGTTTGAGAGGAACAGCTGTTAGTAATTAAACATTTGAAAACAATTACAAAAATACATATGCAATTCAATAAGTTTGCAAAATTAATTAAAAAGGGTTCTCACCCATCCTACCTGCTCACAGGCATTTATTTGGTTATCAAAATCTCCTTTTCAAATCAAATTTAAAAAATTTTACCTTCAAAATAAATTAACAATTAGGCCTACAGCAATAACAATACTGTAACAATAAACATTCAAATTAAATTAATTATAACCCTAAAAAAATTAAGCAGTTAGGGGCCCCTTAAATGAGTACGATAATTCAATAACAAGTTTGAATAAATCGTTTACGATAAAAACTGTGCTTAAAAAATAAACAACAATTAATAAATATGACAAATAACTTGCGGTTGACAGCGGTTTATGGGCGGTTCAGGCGAAGGACACGACACCGAAGGAGCAATGAAGCAGAGCGGAGAGGAGGCCAGAGTCCAAAGGTAGGCCAGGATGGACAATGTCTCTCCGCCGACGCTCATGACGGTTAGGTGTTCGCTTTCCTCTGGGGCCCCATCAAACTAATATGGCAAGCCTAACTAAACGTCGTAGATTAGCAAAATTTCACAAAAAAATAAAACTGACGTTTATTGTGGATAAAATTAAGATTGGAGAGGATAGAAAATAGAATCAAACATATATACTCATTACCATTCATAGAGCCTCCAAAAAAATCAGCACATTGAAAGGCAGGAGTAAGAAGAACTCCTGGAGCAGACGTCTGTTCACTGGGGACTTCAGAACATCGACACCGGCAAAAACGTACACTATACAAAAACGTGAATACAGAAATGAGTCGTGACTTTCGTCGATGGAACTTAGTCACGGCCCAGAGGTGTCATTTTAAAGCTCTTTTTACCCACTACATGGGGAAAATATACAAATCACTCATCATCCAAATTTTTTTTATAAAAACAATCTATTAGCCTATATTATTCTACAAGTAATTTGAAATGTTTATTTACGTTATTCGTTCAGCTAAAACATGTAAGTTAAATTAACCAAAATAAACGAATAGGTATTATTTCTCAAACCCGAGTGTTTTGTTTCTAACAATCCGGGCTTTTTTTTAAAGCAACTGAAGAATAGTCTCACTTTATCGGGTCTCAGTGCAATACTCGACAGGAAAAGCAGCTTCACTTCCAAAAAGTAAAGTTAGAAGTTGGGAGGAGAGGAGAGGTTTTCCTACTTTAGGTGTTACACAATGGACTTAAGTTGCTGGATCTTGGTGCCGTTTGATAGGGAATTTTTAATGCTAAATAAAAGTGTTCAGACATTTTTTTATAGAATTAGCTGTTTTTGAGCTATTTAAGTTATAAAAATTAAAACGGCCGCCATTTTAAAATTTCTTATCGGACCAACTTCATTTTTTTCCCACAATAGGTCTCTTTTACCTTAACATGCATACAAAGTTGCATAATCTTTTGTTGAAAAACGTCAAAGATAAAAATATTTATGTATAAAAACAAAATGGCCGATAATCTGGGTAAATATTCATTTTCGGATATAACTTCACATAAATTTTTTTCTTTCTTTTAGTATGAGGATTCATTAATATCCCAATGTCCTGAAACGTTTTTATAATCACCCTGTATAGGCCTGCAGTGTGATTAACAGTGAAACAGTGTAATATATTTTTTACCACTATAGATATACCTAGTAACAATACTAGGTACATCAATACAATAATAGCCATAAATGTCAACTCTTTTAAGCTACTATCACTCTTTTATCCCTTGAGGGGGCGGCCCATGAGGAGTCAGGCAAAATTCTTAAATAGCAGCATAGGTCGTGTTTGATCAATCAAATGAAAGGCCTTATTTAGTAGAACACATTGCAGAGAAGCCGACCTCAAGCGGACAATTGAGTCAAAAATGGCAGCAGTTCAAATATCTCTTGAATCTGCCATTTTGAATCTTTGAACGGCTGCCATTATTTGTTTCTCAGTAGTTCTATTGAGCTCAAATTTGCTGTATTGTATTCTACAAATTAAGACCTTTAATTTAAAGTGCATATCGACCTAACTTACGTTTATGATTTTCTTCTGACGTCTAGCAGTCGCCCCTCTGAGGAGGTAGTGTATTACTGGAATAGCATTGCAAATTCAATGCATCATTGAACAGCTGTCATTTTTTACTCAATTGTCCTTTTGAGTTCGGGTTTGCGGCAAGTGTTTTACTAACTAAGACCTCAGGATACCACATTCCACCTATGCTGCTATTTAAGAATTTCGTCTGAATCCTCATGGGCCATCCTCCTTTAGGGATAAAAAAAGTTATCATAGCAAATAATACCAAATTATGGCTATTTTATGATGTATCAAGTCTTAATGTTTAATCTATAATGATAAAAAATCTATTAAACTGTTCTGGTACTTTTCAATCATACTGTTTTTCCATTTTGGACTACTGTAAAATCACTAGTTTTAGCAATTTAGATAAGAAAACTTATGTTGACACAATTTCATGTACCAATCTGTACATTGATGAAATAAGGATGATTATGAACAGAAAATTTGATAGTAAGTAAAATGATTTGTTGTGTTGAAGGGACGTTTAACTTAAAATAACCACATTGACAAAATAATCAACGATTAAAGATAATGGAACACTTCTGCTTTGTTTTTATTTCAAAACATATGTTGATGATTAACTTTGTTTGTAAATTATTTAATTTGATGTTTATTGTAGTGTTAAATATTGTAAAGTAAAAAAAAAATTGTTAATCTATATTTTGTATGGAATAACCTCAACGACTAGGCCTACTCTTAAGAAATATCTGGGAAGAAAGATGAAATAGTTCTGTACAACAGGCAACATATTTTTTCATTAAGTAAGTTAATTACAATGGTATAATAAATTCCAATAGACGGAAAAAAATATTGTTTGGAAGAGATTTTAACCAGATACTAACCTGTTGATCCAAGGAAAAGAGGTTTAATATTATATCCTAGCACGCATAGTGTAGATAGTAAAGGGAGCATCTACCTATATGTAAAACTTCTGTTTCTTCACGTTTCCAAAAGCTAACCAAAAATATGCATGACAATGCTGATGAAAAGTAATATCTTGATTGGTTTCGATAACTGGGTAATGGAACCCTATCCAGTGGCAAAAGAGTTAGGAGTCAGCCGATGATTAGCTTTTTAACTATAAATAAATATTAAAACGTTAAACTGTTTTCAAACAAACTGCTAATCTATCAATTGCATGAAATATTTGATTTACAATTAAAAATTAAAATTTGGATGAAGAAGTACCCAATTTAATACTTCAGTGTGGTCTAAACTAAAAACCCGCTGAATGTTTAAATAGGTCTATTTTGTAAGCCTATAGTCAATCACATCTTTATGAGGAAAACCACCAACACTAATAGTAGTTTCTATTTTAATTTTGATCAAAAACAAATCTAGGGCCAAGATTGGTCAAAGGGATGCCTGCTTTTCACTAATTTTGTTAACATTTCCAAAAAGTAGTATAAAATTATTAAATAATAGCATTGACTATATATACCTACAGGTAGTATATATACTATATATACCTACCTAATATATATACTATATATAGTACTATATATATAGTACTATAGTACTATATATATACTATATATAGTACTATATATAGTATACATACTAATATATATACAGGTACTATATATACCTACCTGTAGGTATATATAGTCAATGATAATAGCTGGGTTGGAGCGCTAATTTAGCGGTTTTTACCAAGAACTAAACTTATAACTACTACTATAAGCAATGAATACAGACCTTATAAGGTCTGTATTCATTGCTATAAGTCACAAAGAAACTTACTACTATAAGTTTTAACTTATAAACTAACTTACACACCTTAAAAATATGCCTTTTCATGCTAAATTCCAATCATAGAAACCTATTTTTAATTTTAATTTTAAAACCACAAGGCCAAAGCTACTTTAGTAAACCAGTATTTATTCACAAACAATTATATGTTGTTGCCTTTAGGAGAGTAATGGGAGAAAACATGGTTTAAGAAATTTGGTTCTTTTAATTTACGGTATAGCACATACCATAGCCATGCCATAATCTTCTACCACTGCCCTTAAACAATAAAACAGTGAAATTCTCATTTTTACAGCCTTTTGTTGCTAGTTGGTTAAAATTAGATGTTGTCATAAATAGAAAAAATAATAATAAGTTTTTACTGACTGCACCCTGTTGGTAAACTTTTTATTGCTATTTAATTTCATAGAACTTGTGTAGTTGAAACAGTTGACAAAATTATTTTATTCCTTTTTAAATATGAATAGGCCTACTCATAAGGTCAACAAGGGAAATTCAGTTTTGAGATAAGAATGTTATAACCCTTATAAGTAATCGGGAATTTGAGCTATCATCACACCAAATTTCAGCCCAATCCAACCAGTATTTCACATTTACTTGTCACAAACATCCATCCATCCATCCATACATACATCCAAACTTTCTCGCTTATAATATTATTAGGATAATGTAAATAAATAAAGCGAACACCGAGACTGTTATTTACACAAAATATTTGGTGTACACAGGGATGATATCTATCTTGACTTGACCCGTAGATAATTTGATTTTACAATAATTTGTTTTACACTTGAGCTAAAAGCCACTATAGTTTTTGTTTAATTGCATACTTTTACATTAAACAGTTGTCATTTCAGCGATGACATGCCTATGGCTTGTAATAAAATGAAAATGTTTGTTTTTGTTACATTATAAATTGTCTGTTTATAATTTTGTTTTAACGATTAAACCCAATTAACCACAACCATAGACCAAGCGACCAAGCAACACAACAACCGAGCAAGCAGCAAGACACCCCCACGACAACATTGTGATGTTCTCCAAATGGATAAGTATCATCATACTATACCCTCCAGCTACAATTTCCGGTCTTCTCTCATCAGCCGAAATAGCTCAGTTGGGAGAGCGTTAGACTGAAGATCTAAAGGTCCCTGGTTCGATCCCGGGTTTCGGCAATTCCTTTTTGTACTTTAGAGAATAATTAATTTCCTTAAATTTTTTGTTAACATAAGAGTTTATTAATTTGTTATTCAGATAATAAAAAATAACCATATGAAACGTCGTAAATGTTATGTGAACATTTCTTTAATCCCCACATTTATCATTTGTCCATAGTAGGCCTATTTGTGTAGGGAATTATAAAATCTATAATACTTAAAGTAATTTTCACCGATGCCACTGCCGTTCAGAAATGTCAGCAGTATTTATTATGATTTGACAAGAAATAATTTTTGTTGGATATTTTTTTAGTTTTGTAGAAAGCATATTAAGCTATAGCTATTTTATTACACAACTAACTATCAAAAGTACTATCATAGACTAAGCTGCTTTATCTATGGTACTATTTCAGCATTTCGCCGATCGCCGTACGCCGTACGTTGATTGACAGGTGCTGCCAAGTGGCATATAGTGGAGAGATGTGGAACTAAAAGGTCCCTCTGACTTGTGCTGCAGCCTAGTGGCAAACTAATACACCAGTTATGTGCTATTGAGATTGAGAACGTTTCTTTCTTTGTTATAGAAAAGGTATTAACATAGAATAAATAAACACCAATATTCTTAGCATAATTATATATTTAAATTATATTAGTTGTAAAAAATCTAATAAAAAATAGCTGAAATATCACGATTTTGTAAAATGGGTTAGATAAAGGCTAATCTAGTTAGGTTTCCCTCATTTTACTAACAACCATTGACCATAATTAATGTTACAACTAAAAAACATGATATTTTAGCTATTTTTTTATTCGATCTTTTTGAACTTGGTATCGGTTAATAGGAAATTGAAAATGCCAAATTAAAGTTTTAAAATGTTTTAGCCATATTTTAGTAATTTAAGTTAAAAGGTTTTAAATGGACGTAACTTTGTTATTTTATAAGAAAATTACATAATTCTATTTTTAATTACCTTTTGACACAGTTAATTTATGTGCAAAGTTTGGTTTCCGCAGCTTGAATAATTCTTGAAACTCATAAACTGTTGTTGAACTTCATAAACGGTTTTGTAAAAAAATACAAAATGGCGGCTAGCGGCTAAACGATTATTTTCAACTTATGTTTGTATGAACTTTTTTGGTTAGATTGATTAGCACTATCAGCCCCTCAAATTTGTGACGCATCTTTATGAACACCCTGTATAACTGTTTTAAGTATCCTAAGCAACCCTACAGATGCAACAAAAACTCTTTCACCTATCAACACGTCCGCATTAAATTTCCTTAACATCTCATCATAAAACTGCACCTACAAATTGATCTTTTTTCTATGAAAAAATGCAATTGTGTTTTTTTCAGGTCGTGTGGAGGATAGTCGCAGTGGTACATTGAAAAGGTAGGGATCGACCGAATATTGTTTATAATTTTGTATTTAAACATGTTTCTTTAATTAAAGGTGGTTGTAGACAAAAGTGGATTCAAGCTTATGTAAATCGTTGTAATTAAAGTTCGAATGAAGCTTTTTAACGTCTCGTAAGACCTCGTTAAAATCAACAACTTCGTCGTTAATCGTTATGACTGCGAATTTTGTTTGAAATCCAGAAAGAGAGGATAAGTCTTCAAATAAAGTACAGTAGTTGAATCGTCAACACTTTCGTGAAACTTGGAAATACTATTTTCACGAAGAAGTCTTATGATACTTGTGTTATGTTTTGTACGTGCATAAACTAATTGAACTAGCGTTTACAGTAAAATTAAATCGGTAATTTTAATTTTTAAACCATCGGCATTATTGTATATCAAACTAGTTTGGTCTCTAATATGACTCTTCTGCTTCATTTGCACAATGTCGACTTGCTTTGAGTATACTGTGAGAAAATAAGTTACCTTTGTTTGAGGTCTACAAGCTGAACTTTGTCTCGTTCTACTATGTGAAATACGTAGAATTTTTTTGTTGAACTAGACGCTACATAAGTTTGTATAGTTTATAGTTCTCGAAAAAACAACAGTGAAGTCAAAAAATGAACAATTTGTGCTGAAACTGCAAACGAAGGTGAGTTTGAGGTAAGCTATACATACATAGTACTCCATTAGCTCATTTAATAAACTTTAAAAGCGAGTGGGACGTAGTGTTACTTTACTAAACTTTTCAAAACATGACAGTTCACCTCTTCCTTTTCAGTCTATAATTTGTACTTCCTCCACCTATATAGGTAGTTTTGAATGGTACAAAGTGTCCGTGGCAATGATTGAATTTTTAAAGTAAAGTGTTTCTACAATGTTTCAATAATTGAAGTTATGTAAAACCCAATTGATTTGTTAAATCGTCAAACTGTTTTGGGTTACCTGTACCAATATCGCAGCTAATTTCGCCAAGGGAAAACTTACTACCATTGACTATATAACCACAAAATGACTATAAACCACGTTGTGGTTATATAGTCAATGTTACTACCTACGTTTAATACTCAGTATTTCTTTGGGTAGTTGATATATTGACCGTGGTTTTCTTGGCGCGTTCAAGAAGATAAATATCTTGCTGTTAGCATAGGTTCTGGCGTCCACCGCTGGGAGTGCCGTATAGTACGTAATAGATAGTGTCAGTCACGCGAGGGTGGTGACGTCACACCAGGTGTCTTGGGATCATAGACTGTTATTCGCTGATCCGCCACCTCCAACATCTGCCCTAGTAGCTGGAGATAGCGGGGCGAAGCCCTAGGCTCCATTGTGGTATTGTAGCGGACCCTTGAACCCTGAAGGATAATAGATGAGGGGATCTCCTGGTCAATACTACGCGGCCCGGTTCATTGATATGAAAGTGATTTTTTACATAGCCCGGTTTTTAGCAAATTATTTTCATTTGTTAGTTTTCCCTAATCTTTAAACATGTTTGAATACGGTTCATAGAGTTTTATAGGTCTCAGTAGAATGGATTATGATTACATTTTGGTATGTTTGCATGTCATAGTTTAAACCCCTTCAATTGTTGCACAATCTACAGTGTTAGTGTTTTAGTCCCTGTATTTTAGTGTTTTTATTTCTGAGATTCGCTTGAAAAATCGGCAATATGCAATGTATTGGCAATGTATTTTATCCTTAAAAGTTTTATGTAATTAATTAATTGTACACACCAATATTCTACAAAATATATTTAAACTACTAATCTGCCATCTTTTCTCAACTCGGTAAATTTATTTTTTTATTTTTGTTTAATTCCAGCTAAGCTGAATCTCTGTGTGTGTACCATTGACAGTTGATACAAGTAGAAGTCCTCTTCTCTTGTTTAAGGTTGTAGCCATCAGTTTTAGAAAAAAAATCAACGTTGTTGACTCAAAATGGGATATCTATATCAAGTATCAAAAAGTTGATTATAACACTCAGTCGACAAAAAAAATACTAATTACAAAATCCACATTTCCTTACACAAGCATGTCCTTACATTTCCTTACATTTCCTTACACATTTCCTCTGCATGCAGCAGAGTTCCGAAAAAAAAAAACATCTAAATGAATCCTGTGGACAAAAAGAACCAAATACAGTACAGACCGACAGCTGTGCTGCGGTTAGCATAGGTTCTGGCGTCCACTGCTGGGAGCTCCGTGTTGTACGGCGTACGCGCTACCTTCAGTATCCAATAGTCAATGGCGCTACGTAACTACACGGCGCTCCCAGGGGTGGACCCCAGAACCTATGCTGATCACAGCACGGCTGTCGGTCTATATTTAATTTTTCTTTGTCTGTGATCCTATGGACACTTTTTCCTGTAGCAGCATCTCTATTACAATCAGTCCGTGTCTGGTTCCTTCACAGGGTTACTCAACGCACGTAAAATTACGCGTTTCGTCATCTCGTTGAAAGACTGGTTTTTACAACCTAGGGAGAGCACAAAGCTTCTTGTCTGGACTTCCTCGGTCTGGAGTATTGTTGTTATTGTCCATGTGGGGGGGGGGGGGGATAACAGCTGATGCCGAAAGCTGTGCCCAGCTGTTACAAACAATGCCTCCCCAGTAAGGGTTGGCCGGGGCGAGGCCCTGACGTTACGAAATGTGGTTGTTACGACATCCGACTGGTTCTTCAAGGGAGACTGTTGTAACTCCCGTTATAGATGGGGTGGTCATGTAGTATTATTAGTACTCGTATGTAATTTGATATTTTTGAATAAGCGCCAGCATGTCACGTAATGCTTAGGTCCAGTGGGGTAAAGTATTTGCCCCAAGAAGATGCTGCTCTTGTCGGTTTGGCCAAGGTTATAAACAAACTAGTTAAGTAAAAAGTGGTAGGTAATCTTAAAAATGTGTATTGTATCAAGTTTTTTGCTAAACATTATTCAATATAACGATTATAATTGAACTTTTTTTTTAATTAAGGGTTTGAATGGTTTGATGCTTCGGACGTCATTGCTCAAATATGAAATAGAGGCTACAATTATTTAAACATGTTTGCACTAAACCTAAAAAAGTTCCACCTACCGTATACCTAGTTGTCATTATGGTATTTCTATCTATCGTATTCGTAGTAAGAATTAGGTCAAGGTCTCGTTATGTGACATTTCCTAATTATGTGATATAACAGAGCTTGGCCATGCTGATTAGGTTAAATGAAAAAATACATCTTACCTTGGGAACAACTATATTTCATCTTACACTTACAAACAAATAATTAAACATTTTCCAAATGAGATGAATCACTGTGGGACAACGGAAGAAATACCACCAACATATTGTAGCTCTCAGTGAAATGTCAATGTCATGTCATCGATGTGCTCACAGTTTGTTTCCTTGTTCTTTTAAATCTTCCATTTCTGCTTCAAAAATAACGTTGTCGATTTTATTTTTCACCATACACTGGATCATTGGATTTTTTATTTTTCGAATCCGACTGGCAACATACTCTACGTACACTGAGTGATCATCCTTTGTCAGTTTCTGCTCCTGTTGGATGTCGTCATAGCAAGTCTCCACTAGATGAAACGCGTCGTCCGTTCGCCTCCTCTTGGCACCACGCTTGGAATTTCTGTCTTGTTTCGGTGTGAAAAGTTTAGGCCTACTGCTTATTGAACTTGTAGAACCCATTGGTGATGGGGTGTCACTTGAGAAACCAGATCCATTGTCACTCAACGGTTCTGCGAATTCCACAATAGCTTGTTGGGTCATATTCATATTAGGCATAGATGATCTTGAATATTTGTCGATTAGAAATTTAAAATAAGGAAGACCCCACCACACCTTTCGTTCAGACGTCCCGGTTCCTGATCTTCTCTCTCTTCTGTATTGCACCATTAGGCTTTCAAGTTTCTTGTTGACATCCTCCACGTTCACTCCCAACTCAGCAGCAATACTCGCATAAGCGTCCTTTCGTTTACACTTGTCTCTGTAATCACTGTTTCCGTTGTCCCACAACAACTTGTGAGATTCGTACAATTGTATCAACTTAACAGTGTTTTCCCGATTCCAAAATTCTTTGCTCATGTTAATTAAGATGACAGAAGCACAGACAATATAATACTTTAATGATAGAAGTAAATAAACTCACTAGGAAACACTAAATACTCACGACACAAACGTCTCTGGCTAGTAACTGACTCAGACTGGCGGCAAACATTGAGAAGTTTATTGCTCTGACAGCGAACTCTAGCAAACATTCTCTCCAAACAAAATGGCGGAGCTAGCCGTCGACCGACCTCCTCCCCTCCCTAGCTCGAGTTTTGTTTTGTTCGCCGGCTCGTCCACACTGGAGCTCGAAGTTTGTTTGGTTTTATAAACCAAATTGATTTATAAAACTTGTATTTTTTTCCAGAGAATTATTCAAATTGTGTTTTAGATTGAATATTAGCACAAAATTCATAATGTATGCGTACAGTATTCGCATGTTTAAGCGTGGGTTATGTATTCAATTGTGTTAATGCATTATTGTTAAATACTTTACACAATTCATTAAAAAATCCAGTCACTATTCGATTACAAACTTAGACTGATTAAATGTAATTTCTTTTCTAAATTAGAGTTTAAAATCCTAATTCATTATAATATATTTTCCTCGTTAGATGCATAGTAGGCCTACTGTGATACAAAAAAATAGAATAAATATTTGTCTATGGTACTATAAATTCGATACATACAGTCGGTGTATTAAAAAAAATAAATAATGGCAAAATCAAAACCGAAAATATTTACTTTTCATAAGACTACACAATTTATTTATCCGTGGTGCGAAATCTGCTGGCAAATTACGTTCGCACAGCAAGAAATTGGCAAATAAAATATATTCTGCCTCCTGTGAGGTTTGAACTCACGACCCCTGGTTTACGAGACCAGTGCTCTGCCACTGAGCTAAGGAGGCTCGTGTCGGCTGGGCCGTGCTAGCCGCTCATCTCTAATATCAGCTGGATGCTGTTTATGTTCGTGCAGTAAACGACTTTGTTTTGTATTCATCGAGACAATCTGTATTTTAAATGCAAGTTGGATTACGATAAGACATATTTACATGATAACTTGCTAAAATATTTGTTTAAACGCTTATCTTTACCAATGTGTTTTGTTTGAATCTTCGATCACATTGAAATTAGGCATGCGGTTTTCAGGTTCCAACTCCTTCGAATAAAATCGTAAATATGTAGTTAAATTTCCTTTGTCAGTAAAAAAGGAACACGAAATATTGGAAACGCCAAGCGCAGTGTTTACAGGCGAATCTTGCACTAGAATTCGTTTTCCAATCCAAAGCTGCGCTCAGTTATTTATTTTAATTATTTAATTATTTTCATCGTACAAGTTTTGATTTATTGGAAAAACTCTCTAAAATTATTAAACTTTAAATGTCCTTTTGCTGATATACAAGTTTTTCTTTTGCAAATACTGAATGGTACTGAATGAGGCGAAAAATTTCTGAAATATAATCATTGTAATTGTGTTTTTTTTTATATTTAGGCCTTGATAAAGTTCACAATTTGTAACGGTCTGTATAATCATCAGCTAAATCGAGGGTGTATAATAATCGTTATGTTGTAATTTATTTTCAAAACTACATTTAGACAGAAAATTGGGCTTTTGCAGACGCTTATGTAACGATACAAATTCAATATAGTAATGAATAAAATACCCATCGCTGGAAAGGCAAAGGATTGTTATTTTGGCTACATAAATGAGTAGTCTACTCCACTACGTTTCTATAGACTAAACCGACTTCACCTCAAATAGTTTTTCTATTTTATTCTCGTCATTTTCAAACTGTTTCCGATTACCATGTTGTTACTGTATATTGGTCATCGCTATGTTGGTTGCTATGCTGCCATGCCGTCATGCTATCGTGCCGGGTCATGCTGATAGCAGACTGCTGTCAGGTGCACAGTAATGGGCTGTAAAGTATGTAATGGTGGGTAGATGGTCCAGACGCAGTTTACAGCCTGTCTGCAAAAACTACGCCCTTGAACTCTGCTATTGTGCTGTAATGTTGTAATACCTCCCCATCTCCCCTTCTTGCTATTACGTTATTATGTGCCATAACATGTCCACAGAGAACTTGGGAAAACGTGGAATATGGGAATGGGAGGCAATAGTTATAGTAGGCCTACAGTATGGCAAATCGGGGATGCTAAATTGATTTCATGGAAAGTTATGGAATATGGAATCGGAATCGTGTTCTTTGCAATTAAGGACTTGCTAGGTTCGTAAAAGTCACAAGGGTCGTAATTTTTGTCCGATTTTGATTAAATTTGGTTTAAAGGTGTAAGGCGAGATAAACTTGAATGAGTTCGCGAACCAGCATGGGCATGGGGTAAAAAGTGGGGTTTCTCATTTTTGACCCTCAAAACACAAAATTTCCCAATTTCTCCTTAAATCTTTTTAAAGAGCTAAAAAAACAAATAATTTAGTATATCAAAGTGTTTTTGTACGGTTATTGGTAATAATGGAATTAAAAAAAAATTGTAAATTTAAAATTCCCATGTTATTCTTATGGAGAATATTGTAAAATGTTGTAATTTGCTTGTTTGTGGATATATTTTAATTAAACTTGGCAAATTTATTTATTTTATACTAAGCTATTTTATATTTTACTAAAAAAATTCTTGTAGCAGCAAACCTAGGTACTCATTAAACCTAATGTTATTTAAATAGATTTAATTGAAAATCAATTCAGACAAATGGAAAATCGCTTAGTCAGCAGGTTTGCTGCGGCGGGAGTATTTAATTATTTTGTGAGATTTTAAATGGACTATAATACTCCATAACTAGTAATCTATTATTGAAAACGTCAAAGGTAACCAACCCAATAGTACTAGATACATTAAATTTATTAGTGCACTACTGACAATGTTGTTTAACCTTAAATGCACTCTTTTAGTTCATACGAGAGACAAACCTTAGAAAGCTTAGTGTGTGAGTTCCAAATTATCATAAATAAAAATCCAAAATGGCCACCACTGGGAAATCCCTTTAATCAGACCTGAGATGAAATAACACCAGATCGTGGGTGTTAATTTGACGTACGCAGCTTTTGCCGCGGTTTCCATTTCCTCCAATTTCCCGGGGAAAGCCTCTTCCCGACCCGGGGATATTTGCATACCGTTTGTGTTTGGGAGGGGCGACGAGAAAATGTAAATCTTTGAAATATCCCTGAGATAACCAGCTGGCTCTGAATATAATGTGGTTGGTAGAATTTAGCTAATTCTGTATGTTAATGACATTGTGGATTGTTTTTAATCTGTGAGAAAAGTATTATTTCATTTTCCTGTATCAAACAATCTGTTTTAGTCGTTTAAAAACGTAAATGTGATTTTTTTTTCAATTTGATCTATTCCTGCTAGTAGTTTTAGGTTGTCTGGAAATTCTTCATTTAATTCAAATTAAGTTTACATCGAATCAATTTCCAATGTGGTACAGTATAACGTAAAGCAGCATTAAGTTTATTAGGTTTACAAATACTATGTGGTGTTTACTGTTTTAATTATTTACGTATGTGGTTTTTATTCGCGACCATTGGATCTTCGGACATATCATTGTTGGTATTTACAGTACAAGATACATAATACACTAATTATACGTTGCATAGCGACGCACATCTGTGAATTTCAAAACCTAATATGAGTGAGTGAACGTTGAATGGAGTGAGACGATCAATTATCAATTATTTAAGATGGTGACGCCATTATGTGCGTATTTTAACCAAAATATGATTGAAGGAAGAGTATAGGATGAGTGGTACGATCTTGTAGTCTTGTTAGTGACTAAGGCCGACATTTTCCTTAGACACAGTGATAATTAGTTCATACAGCTAATGGCCACTAAGGGACCTACAGTTTATTGTGGAATCAGAACCACATTTTTGCTTTGGTAATAACTAATTGGTCTATTTATCAGGATAGTACTGCGGATAGTCGTAGTACTCACTAGTGCGAGTGTTAATCCACACCAGGGAGTATTGCGACCTCAGCTGGATTACAGGACGACGCCATCGTCTCGGTCATCTTTGTGATATGGACCAACTAAGAACAGCTGTTTCTTTGGTCAAGTCTGATCAAGGACTCCTGTTCAGTTTGGGACCAACCAAACCTATAGTTCCAGAGTCCAGACATCCTCCGTGGGCCGACCCTGGTCACCGCGGACGGACGACGCGACGTCGACCCACAGTATCCGCCGGATATGGCGGCCGTCGCCACCGGAAGTCGCAACTTTTGGCCGTTTTTCCAGATCAATGCCTTAACCACAGACTCTGGTAGGTGTCAACGTCAACCCACGGTTGTGGTAAAGAACTGCATAAACCCCTCTGAAACCCACCACAGCTGATGCATAACACATGTACATTGGTAGACAGCGTTGGTGGTTGAAATATGTCTGGGTCGCGTTTTGTACATAATCAAAGTACGTGGTCGGGGGGAGGGTAGGACGTTGATTAAGAGGGCCGGTTGAGTTCAGGGTAAGCCTAAAGTTCTAGCCAGGTACAAATTGGGACTTCAGATCTTGGTTTACATTTTAGTTTTGCTTAATTGAAAAGTTAGCGTAATCGACAATGCAAAGCGCACTCGGTCGGTGTGGATGCAATCCAACGACCTAAGTATGTATTTAAAAAACTGGCTACATCATAACATTAGGATGGAGTGTCTAGTCCTATCTATAGTCAAGCTTCTACGTACCCAATCCGAGTAGCTGGCTGGTATAGTCAAGGGAAGAACGTTGATTTTACCATGTAGGGTTAAAGTGTAGGGTGAAAGTTAGCTCAGATATGCTTTTAAAACTTAGCTAGGATGGTAGAATATTAGGTACAATATGACTACATACTTTGAGGGTCGTGAGAATTAGGTTTCCTAAAGTAAAAATTATGGAAATATGAATCAATCGTAACTTGAACACTTTTTGGAAGGGGAGTTGAAAGTGAAGTGCCATTGAATAAGGATCTAAAAAGATGGTTTGAAAGTTAACAGGTTGTTCAGCGGTGGCCATTAATTAATCTTTTATTCGAAATATCATACAGTAACTCAACTTGCATTTTTAAATTGGTTCACTACTGTCATTGTTGACCAATAATTATTGTCAACACTATCCATGCTCGATTTTATTTACTAAGTGTAAAAAAAAAAAACTATTTCTATTGACAAATAGCATCGATAGATTACCTTG